GATGTGTGTGTGTGTGTGTGTGTGTGTGTGTGTGTGTGTGTGTGTGTGTGTGTGTGTGTGTGTGTGTGTGTGTGTGTGTGTGTGTGTGTGTGTGTGTTTGTGTATGTATGTAACCCTCTTATAACTTTTGAACGGCTTGGCCGATTTCATCGCGGTTGGCGACATTCGAAAGGGCTTCACCAAACGTCGATTTTGAATACACTTTGGACAGATTTGGACCAGTAGATTTTGAGAAATGTCAAAAAAACTACAAAAAAAATTTTTTCAAATGTGGTTTTTTTGGAATAACTTTTAAACGGCTTTATCGATCAATTTCAAAAACTAATCAGCTCCTAACATCAAAAGACCACGTCGATTGCCGTCAGTCGGGTCAAAATCGGTTGATTCTTTCGTGAGTTATCATTGTCGAAAGAAACCCGAAAAAAGTGTTTTTTCAGAATCACTCCGAAATTCCTAGTTCGATTAATTCATACTCAAAGATTCTTTATGAGGCTTTAAGAACTGCGTCGGATAGTGCCAACCGCGTGAAAATCGGTTCATTCATTGAAAAGTTAGAAAATTCAAAAAATTGTGTTTTATTAAACTGCTATTAGAGTTTTGAGCTTTAAGAGCTCAAAATGACACAAAAATCATATTTTTGAGCTCGAAGAGATCAAAAACGTAATGTGTAATTTTGAGCACTTACGTACAAAATGAGCGGGAAGTTGCAGGGATGGGCTTTAGGGTCAACCGTCGTCTTAATTTTCCCAACAAATTTTACCGTAATGTACCGTACATTTTATTCGGTTTTCGATAAGTTTTATGAAGTCTACCATAAAATAAATAAATGTTTTCGTTACTTTAAGTTCAGAAGTGTAATTAAAAAAATCAGGAAAACGGTTGACCCTGAAGTCCACCCCTGCAACTTCCCGCTAATTCTATACCTAAACGCTTAAAATTGCACCTATGACTTTTTTGAGCTCTTCGAGGTCATAAATACAATTAGAGTGTTATTTTAAGCTCTCTGAGCTCAAAAAAATAGCTTTTGTATGCTTTTGAGCTCAAAAGTTTGATAGAAGATTGATAAAACACTATTTTTTGAATTTTCAAATATCAATAACTTTTGAATGAATGAACTGATTTCCACGCGGTTGATAGCACTCGGCGCAGTTTTTTAAGCTTCATGAAGAATCTTCAAATTTAAATTGATAGAACATAAAGTTTCAGAGCCAAAGCATCGGCAGTGAGAGTTAGCTTATCGCGGCTGATGCCAAATGTTGGAGGCCCAAAGCAGACCAGGAGATTACTGCTGTCGTCAGTAGTTACATCAGTGCTGACCTATGAAATATCCATATGGGCGGACGCCCTCAAAGTCCAAGAAACCAGGAGGAAAGTCGCATCAATATACCGACTGAGTGCGCTAAGAGTAACTAGTGCCTTCCGCACTGTGTCTGAGGTAGCAGTCTGCGTTATCGCCGGGATACTGCCCATCCAAGTGCTAGCCAAAGAACGGCAAGCCCTTTATAAGCGACGAAAAACAACTACGTCGAGTCCTGATGAACTCCGGACTGAAGAAAGAAAGAACAGCATACGTCGATGGCAAACGCAGTGGAATGCTGCGGAGAAACATAGGTGGACGTACCGTCTTATACCAAGGATCGATGCTTGGCTGAACCGGAGTCACGGCGAAGTCAACTATTATCTCACACAGATGTTGTCGAGACATGGCTGTTTTCAGGAGAATCTTCACCGCTTCAAGCACGATGATTCCCCAGAGTGCCCGTCCTGCCCAGAAGTCATTGAAGTCACTGAAGTTATTGAAGATGCGGAGCACGTATTCTTCTTGTGCCCTCGTTTTGATCCTCAGCGAGATGAGTTAGAAAGGATCTTGAACCGGAGAATCCATCAGAGACAATGGTAGACGCAATGTTGTCGAGTCAAACTGCCTGGAACGCTACAAGCACTTTTGCCACAGAAGTCCTTACAGAGCTGCGTTCCATTGAAAGAAGAAGAGCGAATGACAGAAACTAGAAGGAAGGAAAAATAACACCTTAGCCACCAGAAGGAAGAGCAGTAGCTAGATCCTCCCTTCACGAAGTAATGCCTGACGGCGGTTTCCATGAGGGATTAGAGGAAAGAAGGAAAAAGAGGTGTAGGGTTTAGTGGGTAGGGGCGTTAGCGTCGAGTCACCACATATCCAGGCCAAACAGCTATGCCTGGAATCCGTAAAAAGGATTCCCCCCCCCCAAAAAAACACACACACAAATCATCGCGGGAATAGTCAGGAAAGCTTCCTAGGACCTTGAAACGTCGAGATTCGATGAAAACTTGATTTTCGTAAAACGGGGTGAAAACAATAACTTCTCGATTTTTGAAAATCGTCGATTCTCTTAGCAGGAAGTTAAAAAGGGCCCCATTATGTCCTACGATTACAAAAAATTAATCGGTAATTTTTAACGCAAATTTCTGTCCATGTATAAGCTATTGAATGATATTTGAAGATTTTCGTTCTGACAGTTGAATATTGAAAAAAATTAATAAATTTATCAATATTTTCAAAAATACCTTTTCACTACTTTTCTCTGTTTCTGGCAAAATCAAATAGTTGTGGAACTCCTTGAAACCAATTGATTGGAATATACCTTTGGTATAATCAGGTAATCTGGAATATGAATATTTGCGATAACATTAGAAAAATTAATCCAAATCTTAAAACGTATTACTTAATATCTTTCTGAAAAAAATGATAGAATTTTCATCACCCGTGAAAAAATTTTCTGATAGGACCTGATATGCTCATATATGGCCGTATAAACATTTATGATATGTATATATTAGACTGTGTCAAAATAAGTTTTTATTTTTTTTTTCGATTAGGCGTATCTTAAAAGTTTCTTCAATATAAAAAAAAAAATTCTCCTAAAGTTTGAGCTCAATATCTCAAAAATTGAGCTGGCGCAAGGGGGGGTCCCCTTTCCCATTTAAATAACATTGTAAAATTTCTTTTTTATTTATTTTCAAAATAACTATGCGAATAAAATTTTTTTTTTCAATTTTGCTCTTAACTATCTTATAGGAAATTTAATTCTCTACAAAATTGTTTATGTCCATTTTTTTCCTAAACTCAACAGAAACGAAGTTACAGAGGGCCGAATAGGAGGAAAAAATAATTAATGAATTAATAACAGAAAAAAATTTATTATTTTAACTTATCAACGATTTAACTCAATATACGTCATTATTCATCAAAAATTTTTGAATTTAATATTATTAACATTATATTTCGAAATAATAAGAAAAAAAAAATTTTAAATAAAATAGAAATTAATTACGATTAATAAATTTATTATACATTTTCTTGGTCACTGTTGACTAGTTAGATTTATATTATTTATTTAAATATTATTTATTGCACGAAGGATATAATTTGCAAAGATACTGTACAATTTTCCACAATACTGTTTTTGTTTTTCGTTCTCAGTACTAAACTGAAAGAATTCTTCAACTAAAGCAACTGCTCTTTCTGCAATATCGTTCACTACCTTTACATTTTTTAATAATGATAAGCACGTTGCTACAATTTTGATCACTCTGCCACTGTGATGGAGGTAAATTAAAGAAATCACTTAAAAGCTCAAACTGTTCGAATAATGGCATATACTTCTTCGTTATAGAATCACCAATATTTTTGATAGACCATGAATCTAAATTGTTTGATGAACGTCAATACACGTTGGTTGTTAGTGTGACTTACTTTCGTTTTTATGGCTTTAACTATTTTTATTCTACTTCCAATGACAAAGGATCATCGAAAGAAGTCAGTGAGGCAATTTCTTCTGATAAATACTACAAATCGAGTGATCAAAATTATACTACTTGTTTATCGTCATTAAAAAATGTAAAGGTAGTGAACGATATTGCAGAAAGAGCAGTTGCTTTAGTTGAAGAATTCTTTCAGTTTATTACTAAAAACGAAAAACAAAAACAGTATTGTGGAAAATTGTACAGTATCTTTGCAAATTATATCCTTCGTGCAATAAATAATATTTAAATAAATAATATAAATCTAACTAGTCAACAGTGACCAAGAAAATGTATAAATTTATTAATCGTAATTAATTTCTAATTTATTTAAAATTTTTTTTTTCTTATTATTTCGAAATATAATGTTAATAATATTAAATTCAAAAATTTTTGATGAATAATGACGTATATTGAGTTAAATCGTTGATAAGTTAAAATAATAAATTTTTTTCTGTTATTAATTCATTAATTATTTTTTCCTCCTATTCGGCCCTCTGTAACTTCGTTTCTGTTGAGTTTAGGAAAAAATTGACTTAAACAATTTTGTAGAGAATTAAATTTCCTATAAGATAGTTAAGAGCAAAATTGAAAAAAAAATTTTATTCGCATAGTTATTTTGAAAATAAAAAAAAAAGAAATTTTACAATGTTATTTAAATGGGAAAGGGGACCCCCCCTTGCGCCAGCTCAATTTTTGAGATATTGAGCTCAAACTTTAGGAGAATTTTTTTTTTATATTGAAGAAACTTTTAAGATACGCTTAATCGAAAAAAAAAAAAATAAAAACTTATTTTGACACAGTCTAGTATATATATATATATGGCCTGATATGTTCAGACATCGGCTGCCCAATTTTAAAACACAGTAACTCCAAAATTTTGATACCTGATTTTTTCTAGTATTGCTGCATTTTTTATAATTTTTAGACCTCAATTTCAAGTATTTTTTCTTAAAATTATTTATATTCAAGTATTTTCTATTCACAAATCAAATTTTCCATCAATTTGGCGGGCAAACTTTTTTTTAATAAGAAAAATTGAAAAAAAAATTTTTTATGTTAGTTACTGTGTTTTGAAATTGGGCAGCCGACATGGTCTGATATGCGAATTTATAAATTTTTGATATAGCTACACGAAAAAAAAGTTATACTGAAAACTGCTACAAAAGTATTGTAATTTTTACTATTAAATATTGCACTGTCGGACCCAAACGAAAAGCATTTGAATTTATACGATTTCACATCATAAGTTCTTTCAAACGAATTGTACTGTTTAAAATAATACACTATCTTATACACTGTAAGAAAATTTACAATACTGCTATTGTATAGTACCAGAAGTCTGTTCCGTAAATTTTCAGAGAAGTAATAACTGGCATTTTTGAAAAAAAAACAAATTTTATGTAATTATTAAGAAATGTTTAATTATAATTTAACTATGTGAAAAATTTTTTTAACTTCCCGGTAAGACAATTAAAAATTTTCAAAAATCGGGAAGTTATTGGTTTTATCCCGTTTTTCGCGGATCGAGTTTTTATTAGATCTCGACGTCCTTTTGAGGTCCTAGGAAGCCTCCCCAAATGTTTCCGCGGTGATCTCTGTATGTATGTATGTGTGTATGTGTGTGTGTGTGTGTTTGTTTTTTTTTTTTTTTTTTTTTGTTTTTTTCCCTTTAGGGGGGGGAATCCTTTTTACGGATTCTAGGCATAGATGTTGGCCCGGATATGTGGCGACTCGACGTAGCGTCATACTAAAACTTGACGCTGACGCCCCTACCCACTAAACCCTAAACCCCTTTCCTCTTTCCTCTAATCCCTCATGGAAACCGCCGTCAGGCATTACTTCGTGAGGGGAGGATCTAGCTACTGCTCTTCCTTCTGGTGGCTAAGGTGTTAACTACCTTCCTTCTATCTTCTGCTATTTGCTCTTCTTCTTTCGGTGGAACGCAAGCCTTTAAGGACTTCTGTTGCAAACGTGTTTGCGGCGTTCCAGGCAGCCTCTGATGACAGCATTGCTTCTACTATTGTCTCTGGTTGGATTTTCTTCTTCAGGATCATCTCCAGCTCATCTCGCTGTGGGTAAAATCGTGGGCACTCAAAGAAAACGTGCTCCGCGTCTTCATTGATTC